ACTCATGAGAGGGAAAAGCTATATGTTTTTATTTTTCAAATAGGCCACAGAAAGACACAGGAATGAACTTACTCGCTTTCTTATATTTGAATGTGCGATTTTAGAAAGTTATGACACATTTCAACCTTTATGATTTATTTTTCGTTTTATTAAAATGACAATATCACATGAAAAGCATCCTTTCATGTAGCAGAAACATAAGAATGCGGAACAGGGACGTCGCGTGAGTTTTGAGAGCGGTAAATCATCGGAATAAAAAGCTTAACAGAAAACCTGTCCAGGGCCACTCCGTGATCCCAGTCCCGGGCCACTTAGCCATCCCAATCCGCCCAACAGTGGGTGACTTAGTTATGTATTAGACAATCCAACTGAAGCCATCACTCAGGCCACTTAATACTGACTTCATTCTGGCAAATGATGATAAGCTACGTAAAAATGGAGACGTTATTTCCACCTATGTATAAGTGATGTCAATAACAGAATGAAGGTAGTAATTTTTTACTTTGGATCTGGCATTAGAATCCTAGTGATGGACTTATTGCAGAAATTGTCACTCAGTTTTCCGTGCAACATGTGAATTATGTTTCAGAATAAAAGTAATCAAATGACAACCAGATCAGAACCAGGAACAGAGGAATGTGTGAAAGTATTTTGCAAAGGAAATGACAGTAACTCCAAATAGAAAGGTAGTGTTCCATGGTATACTACACATGAGGACCAGTGAATTTTCATTATGTAATGTGGTGATGGAGCCAACTGTCCAGAAAGCAGGTAGCATTCACTCAAATAGTTATATGTGCAAGAGTTGCTGAAATCCCAGTATTGTTCTGCAATTATGAACAAACTACTATTCAGTTTCCCATTGGAATAGTCATTAGCACAGTAAGAAAAGAGTAGGCAATTGAAACTAGTGGTAGTACTAAGGTTGTTGTCTGCATTTCAGAGCAAATACATAGATGCCAACACATCTGAAGTAACCATTTTGTGATTGTTCAAGCAATTTAGATTCAACATAGTTGCAAAAGTTCTGTTATTTGAATATGCTAATGCGTTTGTGGGACCAAGTGGCTGAATGGATTTTCTTTTATAGATGATTTAAGCAACGATAAAATGAGCAACAACACTGTTTAGTTGAGCAATACACTTGTGAAGAAAGTCTTGGAAAACTAATCTACAAAAGTAGCCAGGAGCAAGTGCAGAGGGGTCATCAGCAAATGCTAACTGCTTCTTATTTAGCTCCAGGAAACTAACACAGCCAAAGTCGAGTCTGGCCACCAAGTTGAGGGAGCACAACAATCAACTGAAAGGTTTGGTCATAAGACCAGTTTTTTATGGCTAGGTGGCGCTTGGTATGTTCTAAGAGATGTATAAGAGTCGAGACATATTGTTCCTGCTTAATACAGGAGCTGCCAGGTGTAATAACAAACACAGAATAAAAAAAAACATACAAAAAAAAAAGATAAAATTTAAAGATGCATATTTGAACAGTATTCTATCCTTTCAGTTTCTTCAGTGGCACAATTCATTTATGTATCCTTTCTATATTTTTGAGGAACAGTATAGATTGCAAGTCTTGAAAAATCTGGAGTGATATATGACCACACCATCTGTTAGTGCCCGACATGACCAGGTGGTTAGGGCGCTCGACTCGCAATCTGCAGGTTCGAATCCCCGTCACACCAAAACATGCTCACTCGGTGTCCGGACTAGGATGCCAGTCCTACTCCCGGAAACACACCTCCAAAATAATTTAGAGGTGTGAGAAACACCATAAGAAACTACTACCATCTGTTAGATACATAACATTTGAGGACAGCAAGGGGCCTCTTGGCCCATCTTGACTGTACCTTCATTTCATCAAACACCAATCTGTCTATATCCAAATCTGATTTTTAAGTACTCATCAAGCCTTTTCTTGAACTCTCCTAATCCTGTTGCATCTACCATGTTTGAAGGCAACCTATTCCAAAGGATGACCCCTTGTTCAAAAAATATAATTGCCGAATTTGCAGATGACTTCTATTTAATTCTATATCCTATCTATTCTCTTTATAATTTTGAATACTTCAATGAGATCTTGTCTAACCTTTTTTCTTCTCAAAATAGAATAATTTTAAGAACCTTTAACCTGGCCTCATATGACAGTCCCTCCATACCAGGGATCATCCTAGTAGCCCTTTTATAAACCCTTTACACGTACTCAACATCCCTTTTAAGGTAAGGATCCTATGACTGAATGTAATTCTTGAAATGAGGCCTAAGCAAGGTTATTTAAAAAGAAATAATATCTTCCCTTGGTTTATAATGTTATATTTAGTATTATTGTAGATGCAACTCAAACTCCTAATCACTTTCCAACTGAGAACAGCACACTGCCTGAAAAGCTTCACGAAATGTTTGACAAAACATCAAGATCCTTTTCTACCATAAAACTGTTGAGTTGATTTCCATCAAAGTAGTATTAATGGCTTAAAAGTTAAATTATCAAAGACCACATATATTACCTTGCAATTAACATAATTAAATGCATGTACCATTTATTTGCCCAATCTGTCAGATGGTCTAAATCCCTGTGAAAAATTGCAGCAGCATCCTCACAGCAAATTCTAAACTTTAATACCATCGATAAACTTCACCAATTTCTCGATCAAGGATCTTAGCGTATTGGTGGATAGGTTGCTGACACAATGAAGGTAGAGCTTTGTTGCTGTTAGTAAAACTAATTAAAATTTGAGAGTGTATTTATAAACATACTGATTACAAGTCAACTGAGGTAATTAACTCTCTATACAAATAGCTAGTTAGTCCTCACTTAGAATACTGTGTAAAATTTTGGTCTACTTATCTAAGAAAGGATATTAAATAGGTTTGTTATGAATTTCGTGCAAAACTACACGAGAGCTATCTGCACTAGCTGTCCCTAATTTAGCAGCGTAAGGCAGCTAGTTATTACCACCCACCACCAACTCTTGGGCTACTCTTTTATCAACAAGGACAAGCATGCGAAGTAGGATGATTCCAAAAATCGAAGGATTATCTTGTAATTTAACAGATTCAAACTCTTATTTTCTCTCGAGAAAAGATGGGTAAGAGGTGATCTTATTGATGTTTATGAAATCATGTGGAAGAATAAGAAGATAAACTTTCATCATAAAGGACTATAAATTAGTCAAATTTCTTTGTGCTGTATTTTGAAGGCACTACAACTTGGAGAGAGGACATAACTTTAAAATTCTGAAAAATGACAGGCTAGAATTCATTTAAGACAGTTTTATATTTCTAAGTGATTGATTTATGGAAACAGTTGCCATCAGCAATAGTAGATGCCAGCATTTTACAAGAGTTTAAGAGAGAATTCGATGATTTCCCGAAAAATGGTTGGTTTAATTCAAATGCTTATTTCTCCAAACATTGAATGTTACAACTTACATTTACAAGGACAATCTTGAAAGGACCAAGTCGACTCTAGCTATGCTATCCATAGGTTATGATTATGTGACTATAGTTTTTAACTTTCATTATTTTAAATATTTAATAAAAACAATTAATTTTCTAATTTACTTTCACCTCCTTACCTTTGCATTTTTTATGCAAATCTTCTATGGCCCCAGGATTAAGGCCATTTACTTTTACAGTTTCATCAGATGTAAAACTATCACCAGCAGAAGGAGGTGGAGGGGCGCCAGTTGGAGGTGCTGGTGGTGTTACTGGGGATGGTGAAAAACTTGAGGCTAACACATTTCCCATGTTTAAAGATTTTCTTGAAATCCAGAAAACTAAAATTCACTTCAACTTCGACGTTCATTCAATGATTCTAAGTGCACAGAAAAATGTAATCACCGAGGAATTAAATAAGAATCAGTTCTTACTTCTTCTGAAAAAACATACATATAAAAATTTATATAATTTTTCAAAAGATAATTAAAATCAGCTTTTACTTATTCTCATTACTATATTACTTTATTAACTTAAATACCTAAAGATAACTATAAATTTACACCCCAACGTTTAGGCCTAAACTATAGTCCACAGGCTAATGCACGAGTGATCAGTAGTACACACCACGTGTGTTCAAACTATGAGAAGCAATTTCTATACCATTATTTATCAAAATGTTGCAATTACAAGAAATAACGTGCTAACACAAAACTGTACTGTTTACCGTATAATTATTTATTTATTCGTTTAGATTGATATCAATATAGGAACAGGTTAAATTATATTATCTTTTTCTGTTCCAGGGTACTAATGTATGGAGAACAAAACAGTCTTTATTATCTATAAATGTACAGAAAACGTATAAATGTTGCAACAGCTTTAATTTCATAACAATCGCTAAGCCTATTAAAGTAAATGCAGAATATAAGAATACAGAGCACTGTGACAATACAAATAAAAATTAAGAGATCTAATGATATAATGTTTATTAGACATAAAAACTTATAGCAGTACTACTTCACATTATATATATAACACCAGGTTCAAATCCTTTAAGCTTCAGAAAATGACTTATATATATATATATACGGTGGACATTGCAATTATTTCTACAGTTAGCTAGCTTACAACAGTTCAGCAGTTCCATGGTGTGAATAATTTCACAAGTAAGCTCCTGTACTTCTTAAATGACAATTTCATCGGTGACTATCCAGAATTTAGAGCCATTAGTTAAATGTTGGGTAACCAATCAGAGCATCCTCCGTCAATGCGGCATTTATAACCAAATAGAGGAATTAACTTTTGTAGTGTGCAAGAGTACTAGATGTTTTCTATCTCCTTTATTTAGTATAGTGAGCTTTTGAATTTCACATAGATTTTTTAATACATTTTTATGTATGACCGTATATGTACGTTTAAAAGTAGAACATTGATCAAGGAATGTGACTAAGTTTCTTTTGTTCTAGTTAGCTATTGTTCTGTGTTATTTCTTTATGGTATCACGTATGCTTTCTCGTGGGGGAAGATTGCTGTGAAGTAGAGCATAATGTGTAAAGTCAGACAGGAGTATTTTCCATTGGTCAGTCAGATGATATCTTGAGGATATCACTTCCCATAGTTTTGTTTAGGATGGACAACATTGGCGTAGATAGTGCAAGCATCTTTGGAGGAATAGAATTATAGAAATGTGCATATAAATGCTATGTTTTCTCAGTCTGGGACAGATTTTCACTGACTTTCAACAGACACGGATCAGCATGTTCTAGTGAAGGTGCCGCCCTCCATCTATGCACCACACTCATTGTTTATTACTGTGTTTTGTAATGAGTATAGATTGTTTTACTGTGCTTTACACTGTATGCATTCTCGTTGTTTACCCTAAACTCACTCAAAATAAGATAATTCAGATTAACTGTGCAATAACATTTCTGCTGATCCTCTTATTTTTTGCGTATTCTATCAAATCTGTCGACGAAAACTTTTTCGTGGCTATCACACAGATTAAGATAGAAGGGCAAATGTTGGTATCATGAGCAGGATTTGCTTCTCAGAGCTTTCTCTTTTTCAAATGGCGTATTTTCCTGTGCTTTTGTTGGATCTTGTGTTATTAAGTTCAAAAGCTTAATTCTCGAGAAAATCACATTTCCTACGAATGGAAGGACTTATAACTAGGGAGAAAAATTTGTCACTGAGAATAGACAGTTGTCAGAAAGAGTAGTCTGGCCTTTGAGAACTTTTCTCCTCAATGTCAAACTTGCTGCAAAGTCCATGATTTCATTATTGTTTCAGCTACAAACGTGGCACGGAGAACTGCAAGAATCTTTTGCACCCAGAAATGTTAATCAAATTCTTTCCTTGAGCATTGATCTCAGTGCACAAAAGGTAAGGTTTTCATAGTGGCTTACTGTTTGTTGAGTTTACAGTTGAATGGAATGGTCTCTATATGACTCTCCGCCAATCACCAACAATATTAACCCAATCTCAACTGTAATCAATGACATGGAAGACTAAATAAATGACTAGAGATGCTGCTGGTGGATGACGCCTGCCATCCTTTCGTGTTTCATTAGCAAGTGAGGCAGCAGATACTGAATTGTAAAGAAGGTGATCCATGTGGCAGTTGAGAGCCTCTCCATAATGAAAGATATATTGCGAGGACGACCATGGATAGTGGAAAGGCCTAGAACTGTGGAAAGCTCATGGAATGATGTACTATCTATGGTAACTTATTGTTTGCCACACAGAGGTGAGGACCCAAGTCTTGTCCGAGTTTAGGAGCCTTGGAGTATACCTAATACACCAAACTCCTAACGTTTTTGACGTCTTAGCCTGGTGTTAACCAATCTGAGAAATGTTTATGTTGTAACCACAGGTCCCTACGAGTAATGTTACACAAATTTCTCCCCAACATTTAAGGGTGTGACTAAAGAAGATCTGGATCATTTTTTGAAGTGTTTAATTAAATCAGGGCAATGTTTGTAATGGCTGGACTCAGAAGTAAGTAGTGAATCTTGGGTTTGAATCATTCAGTGTTTCACTCTGTCGAGCATTTGAGAAAGGAGAAACTTTGGGATTGGGATACAGTCATTGAGAATTGCACTGAAGTTTCAGCCCAGTGGTGAACAGAGCCATCTATAAGGTCAAGTTCAAAGTTTAAAAAGTATCCCACCAAAAGCTTGGCTAGGTACACAAAATTTGTGCCACTTGTATGGGAAGCATATCTTGAAGTGGCTTTGGCAGATTGCAAAAATATACTTGTAAGGAAGTTCATTTAAAGGATATCTAGTGAAACAATGAGACATCACTTTTGGGTGAGAGATATTTTCATCCTGGTGGAAGCATTTGCAAACTGGACTGCCTATATCTTGCTTCACAGTAAAATAGATGAAACTATCAATTTTCCCCTATTGCATCAAAAGTAGAAGTATTCACACACATTATCTATCATATATCAAAAGCAAAAGTATTAATTCACACATTATCTATCATATATCAAAAGCAAAAGTATTAATTCACACATTATCTATCATATATCAATAGTAGAAGTATTCACATATTATCTATCATATATCAATAGTAGAAGTATTCACACACATTATCTATCATATATCAAAAGCAAAAGTATTAATTCACACATTATCTATCATATATTAATAGTAGAAGTATTCACATATTATCTATCATATATCAATAGTAGAAGTATTCACACATTATCTATCATATATCAATAGCAGAAGTATTCACACATTATCTATCATATATCAATAGTACAAGTATTCACACATTATCTATCATATATCAATAGCAGAAGTATTCACACATTATCTATCATATATCAATAGTACAAGTATTCACACATTATCTATCATATATTTCACGTTCATAATTATTCACTACCATAATAGGTATGAAAGTGAACCAGATATGAAATTTACAAAATACAACTCAAAATCATAACTTTGTACTAATATAATGGAATTTAAAAGATTAAAATGTTTTAATTACAGTAATAAATTAATGATCTACAGAAACCTTAAACTTCATAGCACACAAAGAATTATGCTTTTTAATAACTGTTTTTAAATCAAATTACTAGATTGTGATCAACTACCTGAACTAGGCCCAGCATGGCCAGGCGGGTAGGACGCTCGACTCGCAATCTGCGGGTCGCGGGTTCGCGCCCCCATCCCACAAAAACATGCTCGACCTTTTAGCCGTGGGGGCATTATAAGTGACGGTCAATCCCACTATTTGTTGGTAAAAGAGTAGCCCAAGAGTTGGTGGTGGGTGGTGAGGACTAGCTGCCTTCCCTCTAGTCTTACACTGTTAAATTAG